AGCGATATATCTGTACCCATGTTTATAGCAGCACAATTGCACTTGATCTTAGCCAAAAGGCCGAGAAGCGATATATAGCAGCACAATTGGTAATAGCTAAATCTTGGAACCAACCCAAATGTCCCTCAACTGAGGAATGGATAAAAAAGATGTGGTATCTTTATACAATGGAGTATTACTCAGCTATTAAGAAAAATAAACTTGAGGCTTTTACAGCTAAATGAATGAAACTAGAGACCATACTCATAAGTGAAATAAATCAAACTCACATGTGTAAACATCATATTGTCTCCCTAGTATAAGAAACTGAAAGAGTAAAAAAGATCCAAAAGGTACAATAGATATTGTGAAAGGTAAAGAAACTGCTCAAATAGAAAGAGCAACTAAAAAAAAACAAAAAAAAAACAAAAAAAAAAAAGAAAGAACAACTAGGATGGGGGAAAGGACAAAAGAATAATACACACACACACACACATACACACAATAGCTAAGATAATTATACTACTAATGTCTATTAATTCATTGAAAGGAACAGTGCTTACATTATCTGATCAATCTAATAACCATTGTTAATTTCCTATCATATTGTTTTGAAATTCGTATCTTTTTTTATTCTCTTTAAAATAAAAAAATTCATAAAAGTTTTTGTCATTAGCCTTTATTTTCATTACAGTGTAAATGTTCATTTCTTAATTTGGTAATGATAATAAAAATAATTTTAAAATATGGCAATTGTTCCACCTCAGCCTTCTGAGTGCTGGGACAAGAGGCATGCACTACCACGCTGGCTTCTTTTTTCTGTTGTTGTTGTCTTTTTAAGACAGGGTCTCGCTATGCAGTTTCAGGCTGGCCTTGAGCTCACTTTGTAGCCCAGGCTGGTCTCAAACTTGCAACGATCCTCCTGCCTCAGCCTCCCAAGTGCCAGGATTACAGGCGTGCACCACCAGGCCCATTTTACCACGTTGGTTTCCACAGACCCTTTAAATCTGGAAATTTACATCATCCTTTAACTGTGCCATATACTCTTGGATTACTTCTACTTTTATTTCTTTTGCTTTATTTGCTTTATCTCTGCTCGTATCATTCCAACACTGAATTTTCCAAACTGGTCCTCTGACTATCTAATCTTTTTCTCTCCTAGTTTCCATTTTGGTTATCTGCTACTTGTAAGTTTTCAACTTTACCTTCCATACTTTTACAAAGTAATTTCTGATGTTCTAAACTCTAAGAGCACTTTGGGTATTACTCTGTTGTTCATCCTTATCATCTGATAACCTGGATGCAGCTTTGTTGTGATGGTTAAGTTTGAATGTCAACTTGACTGGCTTGGGAAACTGGTTTGGGGACTGGTGGAACACCAATTGCTTTGTCTGGGTGGGTTATAAAGGCAGGACTTAAGGTACTATACGTGGTCCCTTTCTCTTGGGTAGTGTTCCCCTGCTCTGCTTTCAACTGTCATGAACTGCTCATCTTTGCAACACCATCATGTTTTTGCCTTGGAGCCAACTGACCATGGACTGGGTTCTCTGAAACTGTGGGCCAAGTTAAACCTTTCCTCCTTTAAGTGTTGAGTATTGCAGCAATGTGAAAGCTGATCGTGCACTTGTCTTATGTCCTTGATGATACAGATGGTAGTCCCTCAAACTCAGGCTGATTTATGCCAGTGATAGCAAACCCTTTAGAGTTCAATGACACAAAGAGCCTGCTGTAGCATGCACACTGTATCTTTGCCACCACTGCTTTATGCTATTTGTTTTAATATTTGATCATATGTTAGAGGATTTTCTGATTTTTCACAATCCTTGCTTTCCTGTTTAAGAGTAGGGGACGGAATGCTGCTTGAAGCACACTCATGGCACCTAGTGAAGTAGGCTTGACAGTGATATCAGGCCAGGGATTACTTAGTAATTCCTCTATAAGGGCATCTTTTTTTTTTTTTTTTCTGGTACCGGGAATCAAACTCACGACCTCGTGCTTGCCAGGTAGGCGCTGTGCCCCAGCCCCTATAAGGGAATCTTATAGTCTTTCCTCTAGGGGTCAGACTCCCCAGATAAGATCTTCTAATTTCCTTCCTTGGAGAGTAAAGGCTCTCAAACGTGTAGATTTCTAGAAAATACACATAACCCCTCCCCCATTTTCCATACAGAATCTCTGAGCTCAAGAGTTGCCAGCCTCTTTCAATCTTAACTCTCTCCAGGGGAAAAAACTAAATGCATAAGGGAGAGACCTTCACTTAAAGAAAGACTTCCGAGCATTTTAGCAGCTTCTTAAAATGCTTACAGCCAATTCTACTTATTTTAATATTCCCTTTGACCCCACCGAGGTACCAGCTCCTGCTATTTCCTGAGCCTTTTAAGGGTTCTCTGGTGTAAATTGGCTTGGATCTTGATTTGCTAGCATAGTATAAAACTGTTAACTCAGTCACCACAAGTACTTTCTAACCCCCAAAATAATCATCTCAGCCAATGGGGATTTATACTTAAACCGTGGTCTCTTCATAGTATCAGTGAGGCTTTGGGAAAGAGCTAAATTAGCTACTTTTCTGGAATCCCTATTTTTTATTTTTAAACCCTCAAATAACTTACATCCACCTGAAACCACTTCTTGAGATATTTTAATGACTCTGGGCAAACTGTTCAAACATTTATAAGGGGTTCAAAAACGTGGTAACTTAAACACTCAAATATTATGAAAATATAGGCAAAATGATATGTGGCCATCCATATGTGCTGTATTTAAGGTCTATGCTGTCTTCTTATAGAAAGACACCAGTTCACTATTGATAAGGCAAGTTGTTTTCCATCAAAGGTGATAAAGAAGGGCTATTTACTCCTTGTCCTCCTTGTCAATTCTTTACAAACCAGCTCCTGGGTTATAGATACATATAGTGCCCAGATTTATGCTTCTCCGTGACAAGTGATCATCAATCACTAAATGAAATGCAATAAGTGGTTCCAGTCACCTTGTGTCCTAACCAAACCAATGATGGCTTTATGCTGCTAGGGATACACTGTGTGTGTGTATGCAACCGTACATGAATTTTTATTTATTTTTTAATGAATTTTTAATATAAATAATTTATATCGCCTTCCAAGCATCTGGATTACGTTAACAGTGAGTGAGCAGGCCACATCATTCAGAAGACACAGGAAATTAATATTCTTGAGAAATCAGGAAATTGGATGCTACCTTTGAGGGTGAGATATCCAGGTCCTAATGAAAAGCACTTTGATAGCATAGTACTATCACCTTTAAAGTGTTTGGTAAATATGAAGCTTTCTTTCCACACCTTTAGAGGCTTACAGCCCCAGGAAGATGCCTGCAGGGATGCCGCAGCTCAAGGACTCTACCATCAGCTGGGTTTTAAACCTGGTTCTCAAACCAGTTTCTTCAGCGGCTCTGTGACCTCAGGCATGATATTTAGGCCTGCATATCTTCTGTTCCTGTATAAAACTACAATCCTTATCATTGTTTTATCCTGACTTCCCATCCTCCCCACAGAATCAAAAGTATATAAATCAAAAACAACTTTTTGCTTTGAACAATTTAAATATTGATTAAACATTTTCTTTGGCCTGGTGCCAGAATTCAGTTTGAATCCCCATCAACTGCCTGAAAATATTACCTCTGAAAGTATCAATTTTATCAAGAAATATAATCAAAAGTATATTTAATGTAAATGTACTCTTCAAAAATTCTGTATTGTCAGCTAACGTAAAAATTCTTGGCTAAAACAGTTTTTTAAAATAAAGTTTTAATCTTTAGGCTTAAAAATTTAATGAAACTTGGGTGGGGGGTTAGGCATAGAATTACAACATCATACATGATCAAGATCTCATCTGTGAGGTAAATTAACTTCTGCAATATACTTATTTGCCATAGTGTTTGGTTCTATAGTAAGCATTATTGTACTGCAGAAACTTTTGTTCACCCTTCTATAGATATTTCAGTAAACGAAATTGGTAATTAAAACGAGTAAAGTAGAAAGGAAGGGGCTTTCACATATTATGATAATTCTTTACACAGAATTATCATTAATATATTTCCACACTGGATTTTTGTGTGTTCTGTATGCTTTGTTCAAACCCTACCTTTACCACTCATCTTGCTCGGTGGACTCCAATGCAACACATTTAACTGGGGGTCAGTAGCCTTATTTCGAATGTGCCGAGTATAAAATAAAATCAAAAGTATTCGAGAAAGAAAATAGGAAATTAATATACCAAACAGCGCTGCTGTGGCTAACTATCTCAATTACTTGAATTGCCGCAGGAAAGGAGAGGACCGGGCCCCTACTCTATTTTGTTTCATTCGTGTTTTTTTTCCTCTGGACCGCATCCTGTCTTCCCCTCCGCCGGAAATACCCTCCCTCATTTTTCTCAGGCTTTGCTTTTGACCACATATCAGAACGGAAGGCAGACTGCGCTCTTATGTTCCCTCTCCGGCTTTTCCTCCTGTGGGGCCGCATCAGGCAGAGAGGCCCCCCCTGAAAGAGCTGGGCGAACGCGCGGATCGCGCCCGGCTTCCAGAGCCTACAGGTGGGAAGGAAAGCTCAAAGCGGCGCGGACCGAGGGAGAAGTCGCAGCTCTCAAAAGCACAGGGCGAGACCTGCACTCTTGGCGAGCCGGGCTTCCTTCACAGTCCATTCGCCACCAAAGCGCCTGGAAACGCCAGCCAGGTGCTGGGAACCCCGGGAATCCCTGGTCCCAAGTGTCTGCAGTGCCACTACCGCCACGCACACAGGAAACTGCCCGGGGGTGGTGCCCGCTCTCCACCCGACCCCAGGGCCGCTGCACGGCTCCCCGGCTGTCTGCACAGAAGGCTGCGGCGCTGGCCTCGGCCCGCTCCGAGGGGCTTCTGTTCAGGGCGGCGTGAGGCACAAGTGCTGTTCCGTGATGCGCCACGAGAACCCCGCCGGGCCACGCAGATCTGCAACGCGCAGCCGGACCAGGCCTCCCCGTCCCCCCCTCGGCGACAGCGCGCCCCCTGGGGTCCCTTACCGTCCTGCAGGACCAGGGTGGGCTGCACCGCCTGCACGCGGAACTGCCTGGCCCTCCAGCCGGGGCTGGGCGCCCGCACCACCTCGCTGTCCGACAGCCAGGTCACCGTCTCAAAGTTGTCCCCGCGAGCCAGGGCTTCGGCCTCGGCGTGGTGCACCGCCACCTGGTCGAACTGGTAGAGCCCCCCCGAGTGGTCGAAGTGCACGTGGGTGGCCACCGCCAGCAGCGGCCGGCGCGGCGCGTCCTCCTTGGCCCCGCGGTCCTGCAGCAGGCCGGAGGAGTACAGGTACTCGGGGAGGCTGCGCAGCCCCAGGCCCGTGTCGATCACCACGTCCTGCTCGGACCCGCGCACCAGCCAGATGTTGGCGCGGTTGCCCGACTCGTAGAAGCGTTCCTGGATCCAGAAGATGCCATCGCCCAGGGACTTGTGGGCGTACCACTCGAGCGCAGACATGCTGGGCAGGGGTGCGGCCCGGCGCGCGTGCCTCCCGCGGGCGGTGCAGACCCGGGCCGCTGCGGCGCGGTGCGGCTCTT